CCCATGCAGTCAAAGAAAGTCCTTATGGCGTGAAGGTTGAGCATGAACGAGATGGAGCCGTGAATAGCGATGTGGGGATCTCTCACACCCACAAACTCATCAGCTGTTGGGTAGCCCTTGTCGCCGACTAAGCAGAACAGGCGACCTCCACCGATGTGACTCAAGTTACGGAAAAGAGCAAAAGCTCCAATAGGGAGCACAAAGGAAAGCTGTTTGTTCAGCTTGCGGTAGCGCAGCAAGACCTCCTTAATTGTAGGGTCCCGTTGCAGGTAGGGGATATTCGCTGGACTAGAAGGATCGCAGGCTGCCTCCAAGTCCACACTCCTCCACTTCCAGCCCAGCGTCATGCGCAGCATGATCGCGGGAGCATCCAGCTCCTTCTCCTCTAGCGGCGAGTAGATGGAAACAAGCGCCCTCTCAAACTCGTTCTCGGCGGCCTCCGGTGTTATCCTGCAGACCAAAGAGCAACAACAGCTTCCAATATAAAATGCAGAATTGTTTCTACTAAGCTGGTACTGGAATTCTGATTGAGGGATTATGCTGGCTAAAGAGAAGCTGGCTGCAAGCACTTCTTCAGGGGTATCGGGCCTCTGGAGTGGCTGCAGCTCGGTGCAAGCCCCTGCTTTCATTTTTCGTGAAGTTGAGATATTGGGGTCACGCATTTCTCTAGGGACGGAAATTATTATGCGTGAGAAGGAAAGTACCTCCAGCCGTCTGTGAGGAGAGAGTCGAGGACGTAGTTGCAGATAGCAACAACAGGGGCGGCGCCGTTTACTACAGCTTCATTCCTGACGACCAAATGGACTTTCCTGTCTTTGTTTCCATCGAAAATAGCAAAATCAAGCCACTGCATGTCTACAAAGGTCTTCAATGCCGGGTGTTTGGAGCAGAAATCCACGTTCGCTTCCGCCACATCCGAGAACACGACGAGAAAAGGCCGCTCAGGGAGGCCCAGACTTGCAAAGAGCTTTTTGTAGCGCAGCAGTGCCCGAAGCAGCAGAAACGTGAAACGTCCATGCCCGCCACCTATTTCTAGGATAATTACGGGTTTATCTGGGTCCGCCTCTGGTCGTTTAAACCAATCCTGTAGGAAATTGATGATTATTTTCGCATAGGATCTACACAAGCGGCTGTTGCTCGTCACAAAGGAAGGCACGTAGTCGTGAGCCCATGCCTCAATTGCCACTTGTTTATAGTAGTTGTCTAGCATCTTCCACATGATAGAGTCGCATAGAGGAGAGTCCTCTTCAACACAGAATTTGTCCTGCGGGCATTGCTCCACCGGGGCCTCACCCCCTACCGTTGCAATCCCAGAACCCCTAAACGGGGTGGCCTTCTCAGTCATTTTCACTATATCGTGGTTTGTTCAGATTACACACCGGCGAATAAACAATTGCGTTCCCTTTGACAACACTTCTCCGCCCTCGACTCAGTCCTGTTCTCTACTGCAGTCAAGAACAGATGCTCCAACTTTGTTCTCTTAGTTGTCACACGAATCGTGTGAATGCGGTAATACGCCTCTTCCTGCGAGGTTGTTATGGGCAACCACTGGCCACGTCGGGCCGGTCACGGAGAGAGCGGAGGCGAGGCGCGTCGACTGGATTAGAGAGCGCTATCTCCCGTGATGAAAAAAACTGAAGAAAATGAAAAGGTGTGCTCGTCGTTAAAACACAGTGCAGGCAGAAACAACAGCCACAGCTATTTAGGGATCGCACGCAGAAGGCCGTGAAGCCAAAGGTGGTCGGTAGTTCCGGGCTGTCGTTTCGGCCTGGAACTATCACAAAATGTAGTAAATAATACAGGAAAATCACCTAATGGTAGAAACAAGCTCCTTTAAGCAGGTGTCTAGCAATTGGTCTGCGCCTAGGATTTAAGACACCGGTGGCAGTGATTGGGGCTGTGTAAAAGCC